TATAGTGGATAAGTAGTTTTTCCTGTAGACAAATTTTGACAATAAGAATGATGTCTCACACCCTCCATGTGTACTCTTTGTTTTCAAGGCTTTCACATTATCCACCTATTTTACAGCAAGTGTTTTTCTATAAATGATTTTCAACAATGAAAATAATATCTCACACCCTTCATATGTACTTATTGTTTTTAGATTTTTCACATTACTTTTTTTTTTTTCAAAATAAGTGATTTCTCCTCACAAATCTTATAGATTAAGGTGTAAAAATCTCCATTAAACTCAAATGATCAATCAAATTTTCACATCAAGTAAATACTATTTATCAAGATCATGAAGTAAAAATCTGCAAAATCAACTCCATGCTATCTATGATGTATCTAAAGAGTATTCCAACATTTTCTGCTACTAAATTATTCTTTTAACTCAACAATAATATTCTTAGTATCTTTTGATATCAATCAATCTAATTGATTTAATTTTTCGTGCATAAAATTTGATGTAAGAAATTTGTAATTAGATAGTTCTGACAATTCTACCTTCTATTTTCAATTCTATTTTCAGCAACAATGAATTTGTCAAAAATAAATCAAAACTATCCTCTTTACAGCTGTAATTTTGAATTTCACTAATATGTGTCTAGGGGATTGAAATGTGAAAAATGGGTCCATAGAATTTCAAATTTCAGATTATTCTTTCTCTACTATTTTTGACTGTCTATAAATTATTTTCTACTGTTCTTGATAGAAAACTAGAAAATAGATGTTGCGGTTTTTCTGGAAAAAAAAATCTATTACCTTTCTAAGTGAGCATGAAAAAAAATGCAAACACATGTTCTTAATCGTCCTACAGTATAAATTAATATTTAGTACTTCACCCTCCAACTTAAAAATGACATTATCCTCAGTGACACAGAAAAATCAAAATAAAATATGTAAAAAATATAATTTTCAAGTGAAACGTGCATATATGTAAAGTTAAGCACTAAAAATGTTATCATAAATGATAAAGCTCAAAAATACATCACCTCAACCTCATTTTAATTTTCCACTTCATCTTACACTCCTCCTACATGTTTAAAAAAAAAAAAATAGAAAAAAATATTATAAAACTCTAAGAAAAGCAGAACTTAAATAAAAACATAATGAAATAAAAACCATGAGTTGCCTCCCATGCAATGCTAAATTTAATGTCTTTAGTTGGACAGCTCTTAGATCATATAAGATGATCTATGGCCATCAAAATATATTTGTGTCCCAAGCTAATTTTCATGATATTCTTTTTCAGATTTAGCATAAATTCATATATTTCATATATATACCTTTATGTACTTTCAGCCAAAAAAATGGAAATTAATAAAATAAAATTTAAAAATGATATTTCTATTTTGAAAAAAAAATCCTCATTTTTATCCTATTTTGTAAGGCTCTCATTCAATAGTAAATACTTTCTATTAATACACCCTAAAATGTGATCTGGCTATGTATTTTTCAAATTAACTCTTATCCAATCTAAGAAATTTCATCTAAAATGATATCTATAATTCTTCCACTCACCCATTTCTTAATGTATTCTTTTATCTACATAATCTTCCCCTATTCTATTTTATCTTCCCTACATATTTGTTTAATTTGTGTGGAGTGAAATATTTCAAACTTAGACTTAATTCTAATGGGTTGTGGGTTTTGAAGGATGGAAGAATTATCTACTTTAATCTCAAATCTAATGAATTCACTAAAATTCAAATTTTCTCTTTCATAATTATCTCTATATGCATATTCATTATTTTAATTTCTCCCCATTAGTTGCATCAACTCTCTTTCTAGTTTTTCATTTTTGAACTCATCAAATTCTTCATCTTCTCAAGAGCTATCTTCTAATTTTGGTATATGATATATATCATCATCCTCACTATCAACATCTATGACTTTAAAATACTGATTAGATTTATCTCCTACATCTCCCAAATCAATTGGTTTTTCCTCACCTGAAATCTGTTTTTCCTCATTTCTGTCCTTACTCTCATTTACTAAAATTTGGATGATTCTTTCATGATCAACTGTTATTTCTTCATCTAAGGGCTCTTTCTCCTCATCATCTTCACTATATTTATTCATCAATTGTCAGCAATAAATAATTTTATTCAATTATTTTGTTACTATAGTTTTAGGCTTAATATTCTCCTTTACTTCTAATAGCTCATCTATTTTCTCTAATAATTGAGAATAAGGATCAAGTAAAATATTTTTACTCCATGTATTCATTGTCCTAAAATTTTATTTCATGGGTTTTTTTCCTAAATTTGTCAGCTAGACTCTCCTTGCTAAAATCTTATTGTTTGATAGTTTTCTAAATTTTCTATACACTATCCCTCTTCTCTCTTATTCTCAAAACCCTCTATAAATTATTTTTGTTGCAACATCATTTATTTCATTGTTTGCTGCATCATTTGGCTCATTTGCGGCATCATATCCATAAAATCAGATTAGATTTGAGAGGACTGATTTTTCTAAAATATGTGTTCCTATTTTAGACGAAATTCAAAATTTGAATTGGGTCCAAGCACTTCTGGATTTTGAATATTATTTGGGTCTCTAACATGACTTAGTCATTGTGTAATAAATCACAAAAATTTCAAATTTATAAAATTAGAAAATATTAATTTTTAGATATTTAGAAGTATTTCTAAAAACACATATCAATTATAATTCAATAAAGTTTCAAAAATAGTAGAAATTTCCCAGGTTGATCACAAGGATATAATATAGTATGGGGTAATTTTTCAGAATTTTCCTCAAAGAATATATTTTTTTATGAATTTTAGATAAGAAATGAAATTGGAATATATTTAAAATTCACGAAAAAGGGAAATCAGGGTGCAGACATCAAGATGACGTCAACACCCAATGAACGCAAATCAAGTGGAAATAGAGTTCCACCTGATGATTCTTATGTAAGCGATTACAGACGATTTAATTGATCAAATTAAGATTTATAAAAGCCAGAATGATCGTATTTTAATAAAGAATAGTTTGGTAAATTTAAACCACACAAATGATCACTAAATGAAGTGAAAATTATCACTAAAGTTTCAACATCACAATGACGATGTGTCAGCGATGCACCGGAATCCTAAGCATTTGAAAAGATTTTCATGTAGTGTCCAAGGCCTCGAAGGCTCTCCTTAGACAAGGACGATGTGGGCAATCTCTAGATCTTCTTGCGAAGTACAAAGATTGATGAAATGGGTTGTCAAATTGTCTCCGACGACTATCACCCAGCGGAGTGGAAAAAAAACGACTTTGCGGCTCTTCGGCGGCTGTCACCCAACGGAGTGGAAAAATAACGACTTTGCGGCTCTTCGGTGGCTATCACTCGATAGAGAGGAGCTGGATGGAGGTAGGGCGCATGTCAAGGAGCTTCACCCTCAGGTCTGTGCAGCAAGAGGAGGCCCTTCATCACATATGATACGTTCTCAAGAGATGGCAATGTCTCCTAGCGGATCGTCCTCTTTCCGACAACGCCTTGTTTGTCAATCAATCAGAGATCATTTACTCAATAGATTCACAATCCTTTTATTACAAATCATTCAACAATTTTTGTAATAATACTCTGCAAATCGTATTGACAAGATTTTCACCAATGATCTAACGGTTTTGGCAGCTTAATCCTTCACTAGCAATCTGCAAAAAAGTCGTGATAATCAAATAAAAAAACAAATTTTGGCTCTAGGAAGATTCAAACCCGTGTCGGTCGTCCGCTTACATGAGAGAGATTGAAATAAGTACTCTAATGCCCTTATCAAGTGACATCATCATGATATATCTCTATTATAACTAAGGGGTAGTTTAAGTATTAAAATCTTTGAAGCTTTTCCGGGGAAGGTGTGATGTGGGTTTAGTCTTACATCACTTGTACGCCAAAGTCTTGGGTGAATATGTAGTAATATCACATTTACAAGCAATGAGTCCCTTTCTCCCACCTATGCGACCACTCCTTGCCCCACAGCCGACTAGCCACTAGTGACGTGGAAGAGGAATGGCACACACATACCCCCATCAGTCTTAGCCACTCAAGCCCCTGCTCACGGCTCCCCCCGACTATGCTTACGACCCGCTTATAGGCTCCCTCCTTTTTCTATATATTTTTTAATTTCTTTTTCTTCATTTATATCAAAAATAGGACTATAAAAATTATATAAATTCGTATAAAATCACATAATTATCTAAAATTTCACATTAAATAATTGAAAACTATTTTTTACAATTAAAAAATATATAAGTCTAATTATCATGAGTTAAGACTAAAATTGTATTCTTTATTAATTATTAACTCATGATAATGAAGACTTATCAATCTCTCTACAAAAAATTATTCCCCCAATTAGGATTATAAGAATTAGAAAAAGGCTCCCTATTTTTAATAAAACTATGGGGTACTTGCACTTACTCTTACCTAGGCTGAAATGATTGATCTAAATTATAACTTTGAAATTCAAAATGATCATTTTCATCAAATATAGGACATGTATTATATGTATTAAACTGAGGGTTAGGAGGCTTTCTAATATTATCAATAAATAAATCAAGTCTTTTTAATATTTTATTAATTTGATTAACTTCATTTCTTAAATTAAAATCATTTTGATGATGTGATTTATAAATTACTCTCTTCTTATCCCTACCATATAACTCAAAAGAGACTTGATCTCTAGAATTTTCACTTAAATTCTAATAAAGGTTGTAAATTTCATCAAAGGTTTTCTCTATAAAAGCTCCTCCGCATATAGAATAAATCATATTTCTATGTTGTTCTAATAATCCATTATAAAAAAATCTATTGAACTACCACTTGGGTATATCATGATCAGGACACTTTCTAAGTAAATTTTAAAAATTTTCACATGTCTCATGTAAAGTTTCTCCTAGCCTTTGAGAAAAACTCTAAATATATTTTCTCATATTTTGAGTTTTTCTTAAGGGATAAAATTTTCAAAGAAATGCCTATTCTATGTCTTTCTAACTAGTTAATTCTTTATCTAATGCGGATAGCCAATAACTAGCCTTGTCCCAAAGTGTATAACGAAATAATTTCATCTTAATACTTTTTGGTGTAACTTGAGGGAGATTAAGTAAATACAGATCATATGAAAAAAAATTCAATGTTGAAGAGGTTCCACTAAATGTAATCTATGAAAATTAGGGCACATTTAGAAATTTTCTGTATTTATTTCGTATTTAACAGTGGGTGCTAATGGGCTCTGATAAGTCTTCATTATCATGAGTTAATAATTAGTAAATAATATAGTTTTAGCCTTAACTCATGATAAATAAACTTATATTTGTGTTAAAGTGTGAAAAGTGGTTTTCAATTGATTAACGTGAATTTTTGGGTAATTATGTGATTTTATATGAGTTTTACAGTCTTACTTTTGAGATAAATGAAGAACAAGAAATAAAAATAAAAATATTACAAAATGGGGGGACCCGCCGGCTAGCCGGGCCCGCAAGCGGGTCGGAAGCGCAGTCGGGGAGTAGCCGCGAGCAGGGGCTCGAGCGGCTTGAACCGATGGGGGCACGTGTGCGCCACTCCCCTTCCACGTCACCGGTGGCCAGTCGGCTGTGGGCCAAGGAGTGGTCGTACATGCGTGAGAAAGGGACTTTACTTAGAAATATAACATTACTATATATTCGCCCGAAAATTCGGCGCACAACCAATGTGGGACTAAACCCGTCACCTTCCTCAGAAGAGGCGGGGGCAACCGGCACGGGTTCGAATCCTCCCAGAGCCAAAACTCATATTTTTATCTGATTATCGCGACTTTCCTGTAGATCGCCAGTGAAGGATTAAGCAACCAGAATCGTTGGATCATCGGCGAAAATCTCGTCAACATGATTCACGGAGCATTATTACTCAAATTGCTGAAGGATTCGCGATAAAAGGATCGTGAATCCATCGAGTAAATCATCTCCGATTGATCGACGAACAAGCCGTCATCGGGAAGAGGACGATCCGTCGGGAGACGAGTCACCACCTCCTGAGAACGTACCAGATGCGATGAAGAGCCTCTTCTTGCTGCGCGGACCTAAGGATGAAGCTCCCTGACACGCGCCCCACCTCCATCCAGCTCCCTCTCTGTCAGGTGACAGCCGCCAGAGAGCCGCAAAGTTACCGTTTTTCTACTCTGCCGGGTGACAGTCGTCGGAGACGAGTCAACGACCCATTTTATTGATCTCTAGACTTCGCAAGGAGATCTAGAGATTGCCCACGTCGTCTTTGTCCAAGGAGAGCCTTCGAGGCCGTGGACACTACACGACGATCCTCCCGAACGATCAGGATTCCGATGCATCGTCGACGCATCGCCATCGCGACGCCAGAATTTTGTTTTCCTGCTTTCAACTTACTTTACGCTTCATTTAGTGATAATTTGTGTGATTTTAATTTACCAAAATATACTTCGTTCACTTACGATTCTTCCGGCTTTTACAGATCATAATTTGATCAATTAAATCATCTGTAATCACTTACGTAAGAATCGTCGGGCGGAACTCTATTTCCGCCCGATTCGCGTTCGCCGGGCGCTGACGTCATCCTGACGTCCGCACCCTTATTTCCTTTTTTTGTGAATTTTAAATATATTTCCTTTTTATTTCTTAGTATAAAATTCATATAAAATAGTATTCTTTGAGAAAAATTCTGAATAATTACCAGATATTATATTACATCCCTGTGATCAACCTGGAAAATTACCGCTATTTTTGGAAGTTTTATTGAATTATAATTGATATATTTGTTCAGAAATACTTCTAAATATCTGAAAAATCATATTTTCTAGTTTTATAAATTTTAGATTTGCGTGATTTAATATACAACGACTAAGTCATGTCAAATTTTGGTGCCGTTGCCGGGGGATGTATTGCATAATATTTAGTATTCTTCTGTTTTTCTCTTAGAGTACACAAAAAAATTTAACTCTTGTTTTGTTTTCTTTGTGCCAAATTTTTGTTAAGAAAAAGAGAACGAAAAGAAGCAAGGCAAGGATTGGAGCATATTGAAGGAGCGTAACAATTACTAAACTTTTCCCTCGAATTTATTGTTTTTTTTTATGCATGGTAGTAGATCCTTGCATCCAAGGCTAGAAAATCCCTTCATTATTTCATTCAAGACTAAAAATCCGAAAGAAAAGTTAATTTTGATGGATCCTGAAGGAAGTACAGGTCAAACTAACAACAATCCTATGGCCATGAAAAATCATTATATCCTTGATTCATTTCAAAGAGCATCAAATATTAGAGTCCCATTAGCACCCACTGTTAAATTCGAAATAAATCTAAGAATTTTTCAAATGCTCCCTAATTTTCATGGATTGCCTTTAGAGGAACCTCATCAGTACTCAGAAAAATTTCATATGGTCTGTGATTTAGTTAATCTCCCTCAAGTTACACCAGAAATTATTAAGATAAAATTATTTCCTCATACACTTAGGGACAAAGCTAGTCATTGGCTATCCACATTAGATAGAGAATTAACTAGCTGGAAAGATATAGAACAGGCCTTTCTTTGAAAATTGTATCCCTTAGAAAAAACCCAAAATATGAGAAAACATATATGGAATTTTTCTCAAAGACCAGGAGAAACTTTACATGAGACATTGGAAACATTCAAAGATTTACTTAGAAAGTGTCATCATCATGCTATACCCAAGTGGCAGTTCAATAGAATTTTTTATGATGGATTATTAGAACAACATAGAAATATGGTTGATTCTATATGTGGAGGAGCTTTTATGGAGAAAACCCTTGATGAGATTTATAGTCTTTATGAGAATTTAAGTGAAAATTCTAGAGATCAAGCCCTTTTTGAATTATATGACAGGGATAAGAAGAGAGGAATTTATGAATTGCATCATGATGATGATTCTAAACTTAGAAAGGAGGTTAATCAGATTAATCAAAGATTAGAAAACTTGATTTACTTATTGACAATATTAGAAAGCCTCTTAACCCTCAATTTAATTCAAATAGTACATGTCCTATGTATGGTGAAAATGATTATTCTGAATTTCAATGTTATAATTTAGATTAATCATTTCACCCTATGCAAGAACAAGTGCAAGTAGCTCACGGTTTTAATAGAAATAGGGAACCTTTTTCAAATTCTTATAATCCTAATTTGAGGAATAATTTTTCGTGGAAAAATCTAAATAATATTCAAAATCTAGAAGCACTTAGATCCAATTCAAATTTTGAATTTTGTCCAAAATAAGAACACAGATTTAAGAAAAATCAGTCCTTTCAAATCCAACCTGATGCTATGGAAATGATGCAGCAAATGAGCCAAATGATGCAACAAACTATGAATCAAATGATGCTGCACCAGAAACAAATTATAGAGGCTCTTGGGGATAAGAGAAGAAAGACAGCTACCTAGTCAGCCCATAGAAAATTCAGGAAATTGTCTAATAGTAGGATTTCAGCAAGAAGAGTCTAGCTGGATAAATTTAGAAAAAAACCCATGAAACGAAAATATTAGGACAGTGAATACATTGAGTGAGAATATTTTACCTAATCCTTATTTCCAATTATTAGAAGAATTTGATGAGCCATTAGAAGTAAATGAGAATATTAAGGCTGAAAATATAGTAGCAGAAAATTTAAATAAAATTATTTATTGCTCACAATTGATGAATCAATATAGTGAGGATGATGAGGAGAAAGAGCCCTTAGATGAAGAAACAGCAACTGATCATGGAAAAATCATCCAAATTTTAGTAGAAGGGATTAAGGACAGAAATGAAGAAAAGCATATTTCAAGTGAGGAAAAATTAGTTGATTTGGGAGATGTAGGAGACGAAATTAATAAATCTAATCATAATTTTGTAGCCATGGATGTTGATAGTGAGAATGATGATGTATATCATATACCAAAATTAAAAGATAGCTCTTGGGAAGATGAAGAATTTGATGAGTTGAGAAATGAAAAGCTAGAAAAAGAGTTGATTCAACTAGTGGGGAGAAACGAAAATAATGAATATGAATATAGAGATAATTTTTGAGGAGAAAATTTGAATTTTACTGAATTCATTAGATCTGAGATTAAAGAAGACAATCCTTCCATCCTTCAAAACCTACAGCCCATTAGAATTACTTCTAAGCTTGAAATATTTCACTCCTCACAAATTGAACAAATATGTATGGAAGATAAAATGGAGAAGGGGAAGATTATGCAGATAAAAGAAGACATTAAGAAATGGGTGAGTGGAAAAATTAGAGATATCAATTTAGATGAAAAACAATTAGATTGGGTAAGAGCTAATTCGAAAATTATATGGCCTGATCACATTTTATGGTCTATTAATAGAAACTATTTATTAATGAATGAAAGCCTTACAAAACAAGATAGAAATGAGGAAAGATTCTTTTCAAAATGGAAATATTATTTTTGGGAAAATTTTGTTAATTTCTATTTTGTTTTGGCTGAAAGTATGTCAAGGTATATATATGAAGTATATGAATTTATGCTAAATCTGAAAAAGAATATCATGAAACTTACCTTGGGATACAAATATATTTTGATGGCCATAGATCATCTTATATGATCTAAGAGTTGTCCAACTGAAGACATTAAATTCGACACTGCATGGGAGGCAACCCATGGTTTTTATTTCATTTTGTTTGATTTTTTTAAGCTCTGTTTTTCTTAGAATTTTGCAGTACTTGTTTCTGTAATTGTTTTTTCGAAAAAGTGCAGGAGGAGGAGTGAAAGATGAAGTGGAAAATTAAAAATGAGGTTGAGGTGATGTCTTTCTGAGCTTTATCATTTATGAAAATATTTTTAATGCTTAACTTTGCACATATGCATGCTTCACTTGAAAATTATATTTTCTGCATATTCTATTTCGATTTTTCTGTGTCATTGAGGACAATGTCATTTTTAAGTTGGGGGGTGAAGTATTCATTATTAATTTATGCTGTAGGACGATTAAGAACATGTGTTTGCATTTTATTCAACTTAGAACAGCAACTAAAAAAATAAAAAAAGATTGCCGAATTCGGAAAAACTGCAACATCTATTTTCTGGTTTTCTGTCAGGAACAACAGACTGTCAAAAATAGCAGACGAAAAAACAACCCGAAATTTGAAATTATAGAGACCCTTTTCTCACATTTCAATCCCCTAGACATATATTACTGAAATTCGAAATTACAACTATAAAGAAGATAGTTTTGATTTATTTTTTGACAAATTTATTGCTGCTAAAATAGAACTGAAAACAGAAAACAGAACTGTCAGAACTATCTAATTTACAAATTTCTTATATCATATTTCATGCATGAAAAATTAAATCAATTAGATTGATTGATACCAAAAGATACTAGGAAGATTATTATTGAGTCAAAAGAATGATCTGGTAGCATGAAATGTTGGAATACTCCTTGGATACATGATAGATAACACAGATTTGATTTTACAGATTTTCACTTCATGATCTTGATGGATAATATTTACTTGATATGAAAATTTGATTGATCATTTAAGTTTAATGGAGATTTTTGCACCCTGATCTATAGGACTTGTGAGGAGAAATCACTTATTTCGAAAAAAAAAAAGGGAGCAATGTGAAAAATCTAGAAACGAAGAGTACACATGGAGGGTGTGAGACATCATTCTCATTGTCAAAAATCGTGTATAGAAAAACACTTGCTGCAAAATAAGTGGATAAAGTGAAAGCCTTGAAAATGAAGAGTACACATGGAGGGTGTGAGACATCATTCTTATTGTCGAAATTTATCTACAGGAAAAGCTACTTATCTACTATATATAAAGAAAGAAGAAATATAGTGCAAACTTCAAAAATCAAGCCATAGAAAAAGGGAAATGTAGGATCAATATTATTCTTTGATGAGTATTGATAATTGGAACATCTTGTAAATACATCTATGAGTGAAGAAGTGATAAAGATGTGAATAGAAGAAGTGAAGTCTAGATTGTTATTCCAAGGAGTGTTTAAACATTTAAGTGCTTGACATCATTCTTAAATACTTGATATAAGAATCCAAAGTGTCTAAAGGTGCATCATTTCTAATTGTATTTTTTTTCTTTCTGTATTGAAATATGATGTTTGAGATTTGTAAATTTTTATTTTCGTAATTCCATTGCTAAGGGACTACCAATGATTTAAGTTGGAGGGTGTGATAAGTCTTCATTATCATGAGTTAATAATTAGTAAATAATATAGTTTTAGCCTTAACTCGTGATAAATAGACTTATATTTGTGTTAAAGTGTGAAAAGTGGTTTTCAGTTGATTAATGTGATTTTTTGGGTAATTATGTGATTTTATACGAATTTATATGATTTTTACAGTCTTACTTTTGATATAAATGAAGAAAAAAAAAATAAAAAAAATATTGCAAAATGTGGGGGGACCCGCCGGCCAGTCGGGCCCGCAAGCGGGTCGGAAGCGCAGTCGGGAGTAGCCGTGAGCAGGGGCTCGAGCGGCTTAGCTTGGACCGATAGGGGCACGTGTACGCCACTCCCCTTCCACGTCACCGGTGGCCAGCTAGCTGTGAGGCAAGGAGTGGTCGTACACG